TCAAGAAGAAGGGGCAAAACTAGATTAAACAGATAAGTACAAGAACAACACCAGAAAGGTGAGCTAGAACTCCAAGAGATGTGTTGTCGAGACTGAAGAACTCTTCAGCCTCGATCCCTATATATACTCCTACTTAGGAAGCTTCTCGAGCTACTTCTATTAACTAGAAAGCTTCTAAAAGGTTCCAGAGGCTTCCTTTCTAGAAGGTTCTAGAAACTTCTCGAGCTACTTCTATTAACTAGGAAGCTTCTAGAAAGTTTCAGGGGATTCCTTTCTAGAAGCTTCTAGAAAATTCTCTTCTAGAAGGTTCCAGAGACTTCCCTTCTAGAAGCTTCTAGAAACTTCTCTCTAAAAATTTCTAAGGAATATGTCCCTAACAGCTGGGCATCTTCGTTTTCTTGAACAAACATGCCTCTGGTCTTGACAATGCATCGATTTTGCTTCTTGGGACAGTTTCTAGCTCTATGGCCTTCTTCATCGCAATACAAGCATAATCCTTCCTCCATACATCACTTTTTTTCTTCTAGAGTTAGAGATTTGACGTGTACTATGTCAATTTGTATGTCTTCCACCTCTGAATGTGAATTCAAGCTACTTATTGACATAATTGGAGCGTGATAAGCTGTATGTTGTCTTAAGCATTGGTCTTGGCGATGTTGGAACAGGCAGTTATTGTACTTCATAGTTTGGCTAATGGTTTTATCGAGCATTTACAGATCGAGAAGAGATAATAACAAATCCTTCATGTCATCCCTCAAGGTCCAATAAAATTGACTCGTCAATGCTTTCTCGTCCCAGTTGATGTTGCACACTATTTGTTTGAAATCTGATGTATAGACTAACATGGAGTGTGCCCCTTGATGTAGCGATTGGATCTTTGTTGTAGCCCATCGTGCCTTGTCATATTTGCCAAATGCTTTTACAAATGCATCCAAGAAAGTTTTGAAGTTGTTCAAAATTGATGATCTTTTCTCAAACAAAGGAGCAAACCATGATAGAGCTTGCCCCGTGAGCAAAGTTTCAACCAATCCAACTTGTGACTCCTCCATCGGATAGCGTTCGGGCTGTAACGCTGTTATCAATCTAATTTGATTGATAAAACCTCAAAACTTGGAACGCGTACCATCTAACTTGTTTGAAAGGCTAATTCGGAGCTCCTTTCGTTGTAAGAGCAACTGTCCTTATTGAACTAGAGGCAAAGCTGCTTCTCTTGGTGTTGAAGCTTGAGGCTGGTGAATCCTCAATTGTGCCATCTCGGATGCTCTATCATTATGAAGTCTTGCAATGATTCCTTCAATCTCTATAGTTCTATGTGATAATATAGTAAGAGCATTCATAATGGCGTCCAACTTAGACTCTGAACTTTCAGTCATACTAATATTTTGACCTCCGGCCATTCTAAGAGAAGGAAAGAAATGACTCTATAAGAAGGCAGTATTGGTTTAGAGGAGGATACTCCGCAACCTCTAAAATGCCTTAAAACCTTCAAGAAGAAGGGTAATTCACTCTCTCCAAGAAAGATAAGACTCCAATATTATAATAGAAGAAATATCAATTTAGAGGAGGGTAATCCGCAACCTCTAAAATGCCAGTACCTTTAAGCAGAGGGATAATCCACACTCTAACAAGAAGGAACTAGCTCTAATATGAAAGATGAATGTAGTCTTGACAAACTGTCATGAATTTAGAATACAGACTGGAAATCTAAACAAGAATCTCAAGAAGAATTGACAAGAACTAGATTAAATAGATGAATACAAGAACAACACTAAAGAGGTGAGCTAGAGCTCCAAGAGGTGTATTGTCAAGACTTAGGATCCTCTCAGTCTCAGCTCCTATATATACTACAAGCTATGAAGCTTCTCAAATAGCTTCCACAAACTAAGAAGCTTCTCAAGCAGCTTCTACGAGTTAGGAGGCTTTCCAAGCAGCTTCCACAAGCTAGGAAGCTTCTCAAGCAGCTTCCATGAGCTTGAAAACTTCTCAAGTAGCTTCTACAAATTACAAAGCTTCTCTAGAATCTTCTAGAATCTTGTATATTTTCCTAGTGTATGTCCTTGACAGGACATCTAACAAATCTTATTATATTTTTGGTTAATAAGTGATCTTGAATTCAAATCTTGCTAAAAACATATTGGAATGGGCTTGGTAGTGATTTAAAATATGAGCTAACATGAAATATTTGAGGTTCTTATAATTTATATAAACAATAATTGAACTTTAAGCATCTTCTAGATAATAGTGTCATTCTTGAAATAAATACATAATTGCTTGAAGTTTTTTATCATGGATCTTCTATTTGATCTTAATTGCTAAAAAAATGCTTAAATAAAAATTAACAAAGTAGAGTTTGTAATTTGTTCCTATTTGTGACAATATCATATCCTAAGTAATTTCTAATGTGTTTGTTTCTATAAAATATGCCTTAAAAAAGTCAACACCATAGAAGATTGGTACAAAATAAATATTGCCTTCAAAGATTTAAACAATGGTCTTTCTTTATTCCACTCAAGTATGTCTTTACAAATCAAATATATTATAATAAAAATATGCATGTATTGTTATTAAAAAAAATAAATTTTATTTTAATAGGACTTATATGGAGCATCAATAATTCTTGGAATTATTATTTAATCATTACTTTTGATGAATTTTTTCAAAAAAAATTATATCATTTTTTTAATATCTATGATTAATTTTATATTAAAAAACTTGGTAATAAAAAATTGATTAGTTTCAATTTATAATATCAATAAAGTATCAAATTTATATATCACAAAAGATATTTCAACTTTTAAAACTTAGATATTATGTAGTTAGTTATTACTTTTAAATAATATCCAATAGATTTTATAAAAATTGATAAGATATATTTATTACTATGTTAATTTTGTTTTAAATCTTAATAAATTCTATTTATGAATTCTAAGAATAATTCTCAAATTCGAAATAAATTATAAATTAGACTTTAAAAATATACATATTAATAAAAATTCTACAAGTTTTAATTTTAAATCTAAAAAAATTAAAATTCTAAATTATTATTCTAAATATTACTTCTAAATTACAGTTCTAAATACTAACCTTAATTGAATCTTTTTTAGAATATATTAATTTGTACTACAATAGATGTAATAGGAATTATTATAATAATCTCAATAAGAAAAAAAATCAATTATATCTTTGAATTCACAAAAGCTTAATTATATTTCATTTATAGGAAGATTTTGATTAAATGCATATATTAATCTATTTTAAATACATAAAATGTAGTGAGTTTTTTTAAACATCAAAAAATTATAATAAAAATTTAAATTTATTGATATTAAATAATAAATCTATTACTTTATTATGATAATTTAATATATAAGTTATTAAAAATTGAAGAAGATTGATCAATAAATATTAATACTAGAAATAAAAAGTTATCAAGTTATGCTTAATATAGTATTTTTTAGCTATATTTATAAATAAAAGCCATTATTTAATTTGATTCATGATCTTATTTTAAGATAAATTACTTAAAATTAACATTTGAAATAAATCTTTTATTTCTTATTCTATTAATAGCAAAGCTAATTTTTAAAATAAAAAAATTAAATCTAATAATAGTAACTTAAATAATTTATAATAAGATGGTTCAAAATAAACAAAAAAAAATCAATTCAATTATTTATCACATCTTCTTAAAAAATAAATAAATTTATAAATTTTGCTTTATTATAATCTATTATAATAGATTAATAGATAGTATATTTATCTATTTAATAAAGTTATAAATCTATTATTATTTATTAAGTCTGAATAAATATCCTATTAATTTATTTTTTAAAATTATTACTTAAAAAATTGCAAGATATTCTATTTAGATTGTTTGACCTTTTTTGCCATTAAAATTAAAATGAAGATCTTTAGAAAAGACAAAGTTTAATTCAAATAGATCATAATATATGATATGTATAATATTATAATATTGGATAGAAACCTTGAAGTTTGGTGATACTAATAGAGATAAATATTACACCAAATAATATTTTAAATATGCTATTTGATGGTATTTATGAAAAATTTAATAATATCAATTAACAAAGTAGTCTTTTAATTTGGCTATGAGACATTATCTATGGTATACAAAGATCTATCAACCACTTACATTAATTAAGTAAATAAAAGTAGAAGTAGATAGAAACATATTAGATTAATAATATCTTTGTAAAGAAGCACTAAAGAGACTCTTTAGATGCAAATTATATTTGAAGATACTTCTATATATATAAAAAAAAAAAAAATTAAAAACTATTATAAAAAATTCTTACAACTTTGACACTTGATCAAAAAACCTTGTGGTTTTTAGGAAGCTTTAATATAGCTTTCTTACTAGCAAGTATATACAAAAGTAAAACTAATACCATTTTCAATCTTGTCTATAATTTTTTGTATTCTAGCATTTTTTTAAAACTTTCAAGTTTTGTGTACTTGACATTAACTACTTTATTATCTTCTTATTTTTATGAATATTTCTTTTTTATTTGCTTCCTTTCTTAATTTTGCATGAATATATTTTCTTTTTGAATATCTCTTTAAATTCATGTGTAATACATATGCACAAATATATGAAGTTTTCAATGACGTTTTAAATTAAGTATGAAAATAAATATTTTTTTCAATTTTTTTCTTTTAACCAAAGCTCAACTTATTAAATTGATATTTGTACTCATAGTTTAAAATGTGAGAAATAATATTATATATATATATATATATATACATATCATGAATTAAAAATAGAGAAATGTTAAATTGACCCAAGTTTTTACTAAATTGATCCACCCATCGCAACCACCATTAAAAAAATGTCTTCTACATTCAATTCTCTATTACTGAATTCAGAACCAATGAAAACCAACCACTCATGATGAAAACCAACCTATTCATCATGATTGCCACCTCCAGTTTTTCTGGCTTGCCACAGAGATTTGTTGAAGAGGGAGACAACACTCAACAATCTTCTTGCCACTCCTTCATCTCCCTCTTGCATCGTTATGTAGCGTCTTACCCCGCGCTGCCCTTGGCCTCCGCTGCGTCTTGCTTTTCTTGGCTTCGCTTTGTGTCGTCGTGCCTTGCGTAATGCATTCCAAGCCTTAAACTCTTCCTCTCGCTCTCCACCCTCCTCACCCACATGGGCGCGTCATTTACATCTTGAGAGCTGCTGTTCGGCTTTTGGCGCAAAATCGACGCTTGTGTGGAGGATGATGAGAGTGCACCGTCAAGCCGTCGGCCATACAGTCGGCAATCGAATTCTCGTGGCCGAATCCACGCAAGTCATGAACCTAGCTCCCTCACCTCAAACCCTGCAAGAACTGGCTCCAATCGGGGGTGATCACTTCAGTCGCATGGAGCGCCTCCCACCAGCGGTCCAAATGCTGAATCAAGCACGGGGCACCAATGCGTGTTGAATGGCTGGAGCTCATTCCTTGTCCAGCAACCAGAAATCCATTCTCAACCTAACCATGAAGGAGAAGGTGCAGTTGCAAGTCATTTTGATTTGTATATGCTAACGTCCTGGTTCTTCCATTATGGATTTGTTTTTACTCAGTGATAGTGATTCTAATAAATCCATTATTTTCTAGGACTTCTTGCAGGTAAACTAAGATGAGTAAGGAGAAGGTTGACATTAACATCGTGGTCATCTGCCATGTCGACTCCGGAAGTCAAGTACCCCCGGTCTCCTTTTCTAAAAGTTGGGAGGAGGAGGCTGCTGAGATGAACAAGTGCTCCTTCCAGTACGAGTAGGTGCTCAGCCTTCACCGTAGTGATTTCATTAAGAACTTGATTACGGGAACCTCACAGGCTGATTGATCGGCGCTCTTTATCGATTCGACGACCAGAGGTTTTGAGGACAGTATCTCAAAGGATGGTCAAACCAAGGAGCACACGTTAGTTATTGATAATTAATCATTGTTACTTGTGATATCTCCATGATTGTACCAACTCCATTTTTTTAAAACCATGAATGTATCAATCCAAATTTAGATGATAGTTATGCTGATGATCATGAATTCAACAATCTATGTGCCTTTTTGTCATGATAGATGTGAAAGCTTTAGACAATATATTGTTGATCCAAGCATTTATTAAATCAGTCCACCTTTCTAACCATCATCAAAATAGTCTCTACTATTTGATCTACATAAGTTGAAAACCAATAAAAAAAAAAAAAAAAAAAAATGGTTGGATTTGCAACCACTAATGATGGATGGGTCATTTTAGTAAATGCCTTGGTTGATTTTTAAATATCTAAAAATAACATATAATTATTTTTATAATTTAATTCTATATACAAACATATTCATATTATAAGAAAACTTCAATATAATATAATGAGATAAAGAATCCTTCTAATTGGATAAAATCAAAAAAATTGTTAACCAACAAATAGCCATGTACAATCTACAAAAATACCTCCAATTTATAATCTATAAACAACTTTTTTGTGCCCTATTGCATGGATTTCTACTAATAATGTAGAAAACAGAATCATAAATATTACATATATTAAAATAAATTGAAATATTACAATTAGAGAAATCCAAGTTATTTAACTTGAAATTAGATATTACTTTATTATTTCTTAAATTATTTTAAAACTAGTCATAAAAAACATAATACAAAATGTCAATTACATGCAAATGTTAACTACTCAAAGTCAACTATAACAAATAAAAAGAATTAAGATCCAATCTCCAAGAAAACAATTAAATGATTAATTAAATAACAATCTTACTATAAAAATGAAACTAACCTACCAATGCATTATAATAACTTAATGTAATTTAACTGTAAAATCAAAACAGCATATGCATTCTTCTTTTGCTGTTTAAGTTGCTTTTTGTAATGAAATGGAATTCAGTATGTAATAATAATTACAAGTTTGCATCCTAACCCTCATCGATAGGATTTCATTCAAATGTGTAGCAATAGAAATTTGTTTTGAAGATATAGAATGGAAGGAGTAGAAAACAAAAAAATAAAAATAAAAATAAAACACTCTGTAAAGTAATTTGAGTGATAAATACTTGCAAAAAAACATGATATCAAGGATCTCTAAAAGATACCACTCATCAAATAGTCAACCTCATGTCTACATTCATGTGTCATCCTTTTTCATCAGCAATGAAAAATCGACGTGTGCATTCATGTCCATGTATCCACTTGGACAAAGAAACCCAAGGCGTTTGAAATGCTTCAATTTATATCCAAAATTTGAACTTTAAAAATTGAATCATCCTGTAGTCTCAGACGTACCCAATTGTCCCAGTTAAAGGATATGCTGCTCCTTAACCTCTGCGTCCTGTCTTGTGAGCACACGTCGCTGATTATGCTCAGCAACTTTGTAGTCAACAACCTCTCTAAACATATTTGCGTCCAGGACGCTTAATTGACTTCCGTATACAGCACCCTGTAAGTTGTCATAAAAATTAGAAAAATCTTCATAATTCTGCTCTACAAGTGAGAGTACCTTTCCACGAAGGACCAAGTAAAATTGAGGATTATACGCAGCCCAATACAAAGGTACTCCTAAACCACGATTCAACATACGACCAATGATATGAGATTTTTTTTAAAATGTAAATACAAATAAATCAACATTCTTGATTTTCAACATACTAAACGCATTCTACATAACGTAAGAGACATTCATATGATGTTTGCGCATACATGTACAAAAGACGTTGGTGACCATTACCTGAACACTAGCCATCAACTTTGCAATCTCACGCCCAGAGAAACCCTCAGTCTTCTGTGCAGCCTCCCTCAAGACCTCTTCTGTGATTCCCTTGACCTCAATTTTATCTTGCCGGCCTCGTAACCAACTCCGCCAGCCCCGGGATTGAGTCCCAGCTCGGGCAATGTACCTCTCCAAATATAGCTTCAAAAGTTTGAGACGCTCTTCCTCGCCAGGAAGTGGAAACTCCAACACCTCATCTACACGGTCCAGCACAGCTGCATCCAGATCACTTGGTCGATTTGTGGCCAGTACCATAACTATATCTCGTGATTGATCTCCAGTGCGGTAGAGCAACGCATTTAATGCACTTCGCTGGGCCTCACTCATGTTTGTCTTGTTACGCCTGCATCGCATGCACTGGTTAGGATCACCACAACTTCAGCGACTCAACACAGAGAACACTGCAATCGAGGTTGTAAATGGCGTTGGAAGGAACTTGACAATCTTACTCGCACAGAAAAGCATCAGCTTCATCGATGAAAAGGAGGAGACCCCTCCTGGTTCGGCCAGCCCAATTGAAAAGTTCATGGATTTTTGTCACAGCATTGGCACCCAGTGGAGCTACGTCACCACCTGTCATCAATGCATAATCCAAGCCCTGCACAATCACATTAACTACTATGAAAATTAAAAAAAAAAAAAAAAAAAAAAACAACAACAACAACAACAACATACACACACACCCAACAAACGATGTTCAACTTCGATGATGAAAGTGAGACATCATATATGACGCTTGAATTACAAACCTAATCGGCTTACTGCGATATTACGATGTAATATGGGTTTCAGTTTCCAACGAGACATAGAAAATCTTCGTTCATTCAACTGACACCAAATTCAAAAGAACTTACCGATTCTTGAGCAAGTACTTTGGCTGCCATAGTCTTTCCAGTTCCTGGTGGCCCATAGAAAAGCATGTTGCGATAGGGAGCCGCATGTAATTTTGTATTAGCTGTTACTGAAGCTAGCTGTCGAATCCTGCTATGTAATGACGGATGGAGTATCACATCTCCAAACCCTTGCCCACTCTTCATAGCTTCTGACCTCTCGGCAGCCCCTCCAACAGCTGGGGTGCCACCGGCTCCCGTAAGAGAGCTGCTTTTGCGCTTAATAATACCTGACCAAGGATATTTGCCTCGCGATGATTCTCTAATTAAAGACGGCTGCCCTAATATTCGATCAATATGACTCCACACTACACGAGCTCCCTCCCTGAAATAGAGCAAACCAAGAGTAACACACTGTTATTTTAAAGCTGAACTGTGTCATGTTAAGAGACGTGTGCATGACCAAAAAAAAAAACAAATAAACAAATAAAAAAAAAAAACTTACGGAGACTACCAAGATTTTGATGAGTACTACAATCCAACTTCCGTAGTAATTGAAACAGATACTATTGTAAAAAGCGGCACAAAAGCTTCTGACCTAGTAGTATATACTCCAGCTGCCAAGGCAGTAGCTCCTCCAACAGCAACAAGAAGCTTGTGCTTATCAGTGAGTACTGCGTATATTCCGCCTTCACCAAAGAAAGTTACAATGTTAATCCTCACTTTAAGTATGAACACAAATCAGTTATTTATGACCAATCCAACAACAAAAAATAGTGAACAAGTTGTAGCATCCAAGACAGAGGCTATTACCTCCAATATGACCGAATGTAGTATTAATAGCAGCAAGCCACTTGTCCTTCTCCGCGTTAGCACGATCAACCAGAAGTCTTCTATTCACGTCTTCAGCCAACTTAGCCTCATGAGCTCGACCTTCAGCCTCTGCGATTGCTTTGACTCGAATGGTTTCCCTCTCAATTTCAGCCCTCTCCTTCTCTGTTTGACGCCTTTGTGCTTGAATCTGCTCTTCGGTTTTCCGTCGAATCTGCTCCTGTCGCACTGCTGCTTCTTCCTGCATCCTCACCAACTCTTGATTTCGTTGCCTGTTTGCTTCATGCTCACTCTGACAAGCAGCAGCACAGAAAATGAGAAACAACTTGACCATAATTCAGCTAATTTTCATGAGGAGGACAAACAGCAATACGAATGCACTTGAAGGAAATTATCTCTCATGCTAATGTTTTATTCATCATAAACGGAGGTACTTGCGTTACTGCTCACATTCAATTCATATTCAGCACTGCAAAGCTAATGCATTGGCTTCAACACCTTATTCAAGTAGATCTGTAGGGTAGGCAAGCAAAGAGCAGAATCTCAAAGTTACCTGCATTCGCTGGCGCGCAAGTTCGTCTTCGTAGCGAGCCAGCTGGGCTTTGGAATTAGCTTGTTGCTGGGCCAGTTTAATCTGCTCCTCATACATCACCCTTTGTCGCTCCTATTCAAAACCCACACATGTTGTTAAACGTCAACTCCTAAAAAACCGACCACTTCGATGTCAAATAACCAAGACGATCTAGTCCCACAAGTAGCAAAAAACATTAAAACATGAAGCATGCGTAAATGTGCCATCTCAGTCAACATATGAATAAAGTCGATGGGACATCAGTTGGGGAAAACCATATAACAAACGCTCTATCGTAGTGCTACAATAAAGTGTCTGCTTCTTCATTTATATATATATATATATATATATAAACAAACATAAACTTTAAGCTATAATATTGGCGTGTGAATAACAAGCTATGTCGACTCTACAAACTTGGTGCCATCACTTAACTTTGAGTTCAAGTACTCAGTAAAAGAAGCACAATACCGTGTCGCGTTGAGCCTGCATGGCTAGATACTCGGCTTTACGGGAGTTTTCTTGGGCCTGCCTAGTTTCTTCCTGCTTCTTCATCAACTCAAACACCTGCAAAGGGCGTAACGTCGGTCGTCAAAGATTACGCATGCTTCACATTAGTAATTATAGAGCGAATAGGTGTAGCGAGAAATATAAAAATCCTTGTCTTATCAAAAGATAGAGTACCTACTTCATTCTGTTCTGTAATTACCGTCATCGTGCTCCAATGGCAACGATGCTTTCAAATAATAGAGTCCCAATCTGATCATGAACATGACGATCACCAGTGCCCCAAGGTCATAAATGCACACTAATTCAGAGGAGCCATGCAAACCCCATCTCTTAAGACTTAAAATCTACCTGGAGATTGTATGACGTGAAGTACAAGAGTCATCGGTCAGGTAATACACCTGTTAAACCTTAAACCCTCGCTAGGGTTTAGCATAGACCAATTCACACAATAGAGCTGATACCTGCTAATGATGTCAAAAATGTGCAGGCATAAACAATATCTATTTCACTTCTTCACAGGGATGAATTTGAGACTTCGTACAAAATTTATCACCAAAACCAATGAAACTTTAGCAAAAATCAAATTGTTCGTAAGACAGCATAATTACATTCTTCGCATGAACCGACGCATTAATCTCTCGCAGCGCTTTGGCACCTCTCTCCAATGCCTCAGGATCAAAGCCAGCGGCAGAAGTACGCGGAACATCATTGCGAGGCTTCTCTTGTTGCTCCTGCGCAGGAGCTGGCATTTCCGGTGCTGGTGCAGTAGAGGACAAACCGAACAATGATCCGAAACTCTTCCCAGTCGGCGCAGGATTACCAGTATGCACAGCCGAGGTACGTGGAGCACCATTACGAGGCTTCTCTTGTTGCTCCTGCACAGGAGCTGGAATTTCCAGTGCTGGAGCAGAAGAGGACAAACCGAACAATGACCCGAAACTCTTTTGAGTGGACGCAGGATTACTAGCAAGCACAGCTGAAGCCGACGCGATCGCACCAGCTACGACACCCACCCTAATCGTGCTACTCGCCATCGCCACTACTCCCTAACTCAAAAATCCTGCAATACCTAACGATCCACTCAAGTGTTCATTAATCCCCGACTTCTCATCAGCAGATGTCCTGAAAACAGCACACCAATCCGCCTCACATCCCTGCCGCAATCCAAAAACATCAACTTCTTTATCAAAATCCTCCACCTCCACTCCCTCCAACCCCTCCTTCAAAAACCCGAAACCTAACCCTCCCTATCAATCCATGAACGCATGGCTTGCGTTCATTTACCAAGCCCTCATTGCAAGCAAAGGAATGAAGGGGAAACGCAGCAGCGGTGGTGCGAGGCAAGAATTCGCACGTCGAAGTGAGTCGACGTCGACTCACGCTGCAAGGCAGCCAGATTTTGCGTAGGTCTGCGTCGGAGGTGGAGGCCCTGCCTCGTGAGGCTTGCGGAACAGCCAACTATAAATTCACTTCGTTCGTCGAACCCTCGCTCTCGTTGCCGTTTCTCGTTCTCCCTCCGATCGCCGGCGGTCACCGTCGTCGAATTCGACATTAATCAACCGGGCAACTCGGCCTTGGTTTCACACCGGAGAAACTACTACGTACTTGAAATTTGCACGTAGCGGAATATTTCACTTAAAATAACATGCTTGATAATAATAGTAATGATAGTAATAATAATATCACGCTATATATTTAAAACCACAAAATAGAATTCCACCAACAGTATTTTAAAACAATACATGTATATCAAACCTTCTATATTTTCTTACTTGCATATATATTTAAGCAACATCAACTTATTTGAGTTTCTTCACAAAAGCACCACTATAAATAGCATACTTAAACTCATGTACTTACATTCACTTATTGCATACTTAAACTCAATACCATTCTATTGTGAATTGGGTTGAAGAATCTAAATAAGAAAAATAAAAGAAAATTTGAAATTCTTGCTAAAAAGTTTTAAAAAATCTTATGTATATAAATATATCTATGTCTATATTTATATTATATATAATTAAAGTAATTTTGGAATACATTATATATATATATATATATATATATATATATATATATAATTTCATTAACCTTATTGTATTTTTAAATATAAAAGTGCTTGGAATTCCTTTTGTATTGCCATGTATTCTGAAATTGTATTTAATTAAAAATATGGTTCATGAATTTCGCTGAGTTTTATGAAAATTTAAAGGATTCATGTATAAAGAGAAATATATATAAATATATATATTAAACAAACATATATGCCAAATCTGCAACACCATCTCCGCAAATTCAAAACTCTTTGTTTACGTTTCCAAGCAAGAATAATCTTTGAATTTTAGCACTAAGTCAACACCAACACCCTTTTGAATCACTATTGTAATTAGTTTTTTTTCATGTACAAAATTATCTAATCTAAAATTCTACACTCAATATGAAATCATTTGGATATCCTTGCTAAGATATTACAAATCTGTATACTAAAAAGTAGCAGATCCAATTGATTTATTTGTAAAAATGATTCTTTTAAAATGGTTTATTATTTTGCTCTTGGATCATGGCAAGATATTTATATATGTATATATATATACACAACAAGCATATTTGAATATCATAAATTGCTGGTGGTCAGAACTTCATTAGTGTTGGCCTTTCTATACTCTCTAAGATTCTTAAAGACCATGTCCATGAAAGAATTTAAAACTAATGCTTACACTTCCAAACACAACAAAAGTTCCATACAATGAACTAAACAAGTGTAATTAATTTGGTTTAAATTCATGCAACTGATAGGATCTATTAAAAACAACATTAAAAATATGTATTTATAATTCAAGTCTATAACATCACAAATTTTAATTCTTTTGTTCTTCTTAAAAAAAAATATATATATATATATATATATATAGATTTATTATCAGAGAGAATTGTGAACATGTCAAGAATACCTCCTTTTCTAAACTCAAGTGATTTAGCTACAAAGTAGCTAGTAGTAGCTATTCAGTTCCTTATTGTACTAGAGCTACTATAGAGACATATGTGAGGTTGGGAGACTCTAAAGATCCAATTTTGGCCTTAGTTGATCATGGATCTGAAATCAATATCATGTCAAGGCAGATATATGAGAAAAATAAGTGGCCAGTTGATACCAATTATAGTTAGGTAATTAGAGCTGCAAACAACTAACAAGGTGATTTATACAGAGCTTGCTCAACTGTAAGGACTAGGATTGGAGATGTGGACGTGGAGCAAAATTTCTTCGTGCAAAACTCTGCTACATATTTAATAATATTTGATCAACCCTATATTACAGTTACTAGAATGGAAACTAGAGTCTTAGATGATGGTTTACATTATGCTAGGATTCATAGTTGGGATGGAAGAAAAGCTGTATAATTTATTATTGTGAAACCTATTCATGAGAGGCATAGAGAACAATTAAGAGGGATGCCTTTGGAGCCAGGAAACAACTTTGTGGATTTCTAGAAAGCACCCTTGTAGAATGGGGACACATGGGTGCAAATAAGTCATCTGCAAACCCCATTGTAGATAATATGAGTTTTGGATTTTCAAACTTGACTAGTAATGGATTTGTGAGTATTTGAAAGATTAAAGATTTAGATTCTGTATATAGAAGAAGGGTGAAGAAAGAAGAGAAAAACTTAAAAAAAGTGGGTTTAGTTTTAAGTGATGAAGCCATAATTGGAGTAATAGAAGAAATAAGTTTGGAAGATGATTTGATAAAGGTTTTGGAGAATTTAGCTATAAGCATAGATGGAAATGCTATAGTAGAAATATATTCAAGAGAAACTTATGAAGAATTAGAAAAGATAGTAGTAATTGGTGGGCTTGCTACAAGCTATGGATTGAAACATGAGACTAGAGTACAAACTAAATATAAAGTTGTGGCAAGAAAAGTAAAGCCTATAGCTATCCAATTACCAGTTGATACTATGGAATATATCAACCAAGCAATTAAAGAGCCAAGTCTAAGAGAAAGACGTGGAATTGGACATGAATTTACTCAAGAATCATTGGCTAAATTGAAGATTGGAAGGGGTGATTTCTTGACATCAACAGAGAAAATTATGTTCCAAGAAATGCTTATTAGGCATGGTAAGGCATTTGCCTTAACTTCTGATGAAATTGGATGTGTGGATCCTAATGTTGTAGTACCTATGGTAATCTTTATTGTACCACATGTTCCATGGGATTTAAAGCCTATACCTATGCCCAGAGCTTTACTTCCAAAGTTGATAGAACTACTAAAAGAGAAGGTGAAGATGGATATTTTAGAACCTTCAATTGCTCTTTATTCTAATAGATGGTTCACAGTACCCAAGAAGTCAGGGGCATTAAGGTTTATTCAGGATATGCAACCTGTAAATAGAGTAATTATTCGGAAGATGGGATCAGGTCCTATAGTAGATGAAGTGGCTGAAAAATTTGCAAGTCATACCATTTATTCTATTGGAGACTTATATTCTGGGTATGACCAATTTCAATTGGCTAAAGAGAGTAGGGACTTAACTACCATGAAGAGTCCTTTGGATTTAATGAGGATGTGTACTTTACTTCAAGGTGCAACCAACTCAGTGGCTCATATGCAAAATGCTATGAACCAAATATTGAAAGAATTTATTCTTAAAAAAACCATATTATTTTTGGATGATATACCTATAAAAGGAGACAAAAAAGAAGATAAGGATGAAACTATGGATGTTGAAGGTTGTAAGAAGTTTGTTAAGAGGCATATTGAAGATGTGGCTCAAATATTAGAGAGATTGGAGTCACTTAATCTCACGTTATCTTTGGAGAAATCAAGCTTTGGAGTTGATGAGATTCTAGTGGTGAGACATATGTGTGGCAGGTATGGTAGGAAACCAAACCTTGATAAAATTGATGCTATATCTAAAATGAAGGCTTGTAAAAATGTTATAGAAGCCAGAAGGTTTTTAGGAGCATGTGTATTCTATCACATTTGGGTGCCTCACATTGCCCATATCTCAGAGCCACTATATAAGTTATTAAAGAAGAGTAAGAGATTTGTTTGGAAAGAAGAACAAAAAATAGTTATAGAAAACCTAAAAAAGATGTTGAGTTCACCACCTGTGCTTAGACAAGTGGATTATCAATGTGGAAGACGAGTGGTTGTAACAATGGATACAAGCCTCATAGCAATTGGATGGGCTATTGGACAAGATGATGTAGAAGGGAGAATGTTTGCTATAAGGTTTGGAACCAAGATTCTTACAAAGAGGCAAAGGACTTATCTAGAAGTTGAAAGAGAGCTTTGGGGAGCACTCACCGCTTTAAAGGTTGAGAAGAATTATTTGATTGGAACAAGTATAGTTTTGAAAACATATTGTTTATCATTACTTAGAATGATAATTAACTGTACTACTTCAAACATTGCCATGTTAAGATGGATAGCCTACATAAGAACATTGAATCCTTTCTTAGTACATATTACTGGCAAAGAAAACTTGGTGGCAGATATGTTGTCTAGAGCTAGATATACCTTTGAAGAAGAAATGATGGCACACGAAGGAGGTGAAGATGAAGAAGAGAAGAGTTATGGAAATTCATTTGCTACTGGTGGAATGGATTTTGGTGATAAGGTTCAAAAATTCTATGAAGGTTTGTATGAAGGCAAATTGAAGGATAATAGAATTTATTTAAGTACAATGAAGAAATAAGAAGGGTGGATGGATAAAACCTTCAAAGATATTAGACATCAATCCTATGGTTATTTGTTTAGGAATGGATTCCTATGGAAGAGGCCAAAATGGGGTGATAAAATCCCATTGAAGATAGTAGGAGATCTTGAAACTAAGTTTAAGGTTTTAAGAGAATATCATGATACACTTTCGACAGGGCACAGAAGAGTTTGGCTACATATACCAAGATCAAGGAAAGGTATTAGTGGAAGGGTTTATACAAAGATGTAGAAGACTTTGTGAACTCCTGCTTAGAATGCCAACTACAATCTAAAGTTAGGTGTAGAGATGGATTACATCCTACTTATCCACCTTTAATATATTTTCAATGGGTGATTGATTTGGTAACTATGCCATTGGACTTTGGAGTATGAAATATTTGGTTTTGGCAAGAGAAGAGCTGTCAAATTATGTTGAAGGGAGGGCTTTGAGAACCAAGACTACAAAGGCAATATGCAGATTTATTTTGAAAGACATCTTTAGCAAATATGGTAACATTGGGAAGATGAGAGCTGATAGAAGAGAATTGGATGCCATTGAAGCAAGAGAATTTTTCAATAAATACAGAGTTCAATTGAAGTTGACTACTTATAATCCTGAAGCCAATGGAAAGAGTGAGAGGAGTCATCCTCCTATGCATTTATGCAATTAATAATAATTGCACTTGAAAACAACAGACTATAAATCCATTCCAAATTGTTGCACAATTTCAACCACAACACATGTTGAAACATCCAGAACATTCAGATGACCAAAAGATGCAACATTCCCTAACCAGCACCATGGACATGTCTAAGTGTATGCATGTGTGTATACATATACATATATATATATATTCCTCATTTCATCCTAACATAAACTGACGACAAACCCACAAGTAAGATTCCCCGACTAAACTTTCATCCACCCATATCCAACAAAAACCAAAACAATGCAATCAAACCACATCACACCAGCATCACTAAGCCCAACTCAACTTCAAACAAACTGAGACCTGAAAATGCAACCGCAAACACCTGACGAAAACACCAGCAGCTAACAAAGCTAAAAATAAGCAACGCCAAGTAAGAAATTCAGAACTGAAAACAAGACGGAAAATCAAAATAAAAAGAGAATCAATATCGTACACAAAGAAAATGACCTTGGATCCTTCATACAGATCAACATACAGATCCCCACAAGGGAGCTGCTCTTGCATCATAATACAATCGATCCAGTCTCCTACTAACAGGATCACCGCTAACCAAGCACAACTGTCAAACTTCCTCTCACCACCCCCTACTAACACCCCAACCTGACCAACATTTACAAATACGACCGTGCCACCAACTTCACCTTACCACATATCCTCCACTATCCTTTCGATTCATTTCCATTCCCTCCCGTCCCCTTCACAGACCGCGCTAGCCCGAAGACACTGCCGGAACTACAACCCCAAAAACCGTGACTTCCTATTCATCTCCAATCCGACGCGTCACACACGAGCTCCTCCCGCCTTATGAGAATTCTCATCCCACTTAATCGCACGCCTCTGCTTCAATACCCACCCCACCAAGCAACTGTTTCCCACCATATCAGTCACTTAATTCTTACAGCATCAGTGCTCGATCACCTAGCCATCCAGATCCTCATCCTCCTGCAAATACCACCATGTAACGATCAGACACATACACCTACACAACCACATCCCGCTCTTCCAAACTAGCAACATCCATAAAGCAACGGAACTTCAACCAGCCACATTCCCCACAACTCAACCACTCATATCCTCACACCCACTCCCACTCCCACCTCTTCGTCTTCGTCGTCGTTGATCTCCGACTTTGACTTGTCCGACTCCTCCGCTTCTACCTCTTCCGCGTCCTCATCCTGTTCCACAACCCCCACCACTTTCAGACCCATTCCCTCCAAACCGCACCCCCCCCCCAAACTCCCTCATACACCTCCACCCTCCTCCAACCCACCTGTTTCTTGTTGTACGCCGATATCGTCTTGTCGTATTCCGACTTCTTCTGCACCGCCTTCGTCATGAAAGGCTGCTTCTCCTGCACACCCATAACCCACTCCTTCAGCACCCATCCACCCCGACCACCACACATACATCGTCCACTCCCCCACCCTCCTTCTCAAACCACCACCCAACTCAAGCTTCGAGCCTACTCACAGCTTCTGACATCGACTTCCATTTCTCTCCTCCCGCCTTTCCCACCGCTGTCACTCCCTTCACGTTCGGGTTCTCCCTCTTGAATACCTCCCGAAACTCGTTCCTGCCACACCGCCACCCACCGTCCCCATCAGTCCCCCCGCTTTCCCTCCCAACAACACCCCATCTCCCATCACCTTCCCCTCATCTGCACCACACCCCAAACTCACAAGAAGATGAAGAAAGCCGTCGGCGGCCGCTTCGGCGCATTCGGGTCCTTCAACTTCTTGCCACCCTTCGGCTTCTTCGCCTTCGTCTCTTTCACCGCCCCTTTCCGCTTCTTGATGTCCCTGCACCCCCACCACCACCCCCATCACCATCACCATCACAAAAACGCCGTCACATCACCTTACGTCACGTCACATGGCATCACATGCCATATGTTTTCGTTTCCCACAGGCACACCACCACAACACGTGCCCATCATCCACCCCACAATGCTTACTTGTCCTGGACTTTCGGCACCCTCTCCTTCGCCACCGCACCACCTCCTTTCTTGCCCTTTGCTTCCTTCATCTTCACAGATTGCGCCAACGGAGCGATGATGATCCAATGCCAAGCTTAAGCAACCATCCCCCGACAATTCCCCCCAATTATCTCTTGTGCAACACCTGCATTGCCACCCCATGCACAACCTCAGCCTCGCCACACATCGCACGTCTATATCCACAAATCTCATCACCTCGCACCATAGCACGCCATCAAACCAAGCCCCATGCATCAACCACACTCCTGCGCACTCCACCCAATTGCGCACTTCTTCCACATCTCTACACTTCCCAAACATCATACTTTGCCTGCGCAACGCCACTCAACGACTCCACTCACTTTTCCCTTCTTCCACCACGTACCAAACATTAATTCTGCCATCCTAACCACGAGCAACTCATCCTAACGTATCCAAACCAACAACGTTTCAATGCGCTACCACTTCCACCATCATTCCCCTATGCAACCAGCCCCACCCTCGCAACACATATTCAACCGCGCATACGAAACCCATGGTGCCCAACACATAAACATCTCATACCCCACACGGAACCATGCTCGCCGCTCTGGCGACGTGCCTGCATGGTCTCATGACCGCACAAACACCGGTCCAAGCCACATAAACACACAGAGACACAACCCACAAACCTCCGCCCCGAGCCCGCTTACACAGGGCACGAGCTCGAAAACACCGCCAGCCACAAAAATCACATTCGCAACAACAAGCGACACACACTGCACCAATTCCACTCACCTTCTCCCAACACGCCCCGACAAAACAGGCTGCGAAAACTAGTCGCGTCACACCACACCTAACCCCACCTCAATACCACAACGCCTCCCCACACACGCCCATGCAAACCACTCTCCACGACGAATCATCCCAACTCAGACACGAAGAAAAACTGCCACTCCGAATTCGGACTCGTCAGGACAATTGACGCTGCAACAGCAGTGCCACGACAGGGGGTACAAGACAGGAAGGGCCATGCAACGCACCTGGATGACGCACACCGACGCGCGGCGCGAGGCAGAAGGGAAGCAACGACGACGACGACGACGACGACGAGGAGCAGCGACGCTCACGGGGGGAGCCGCGACGGAGGCAGGCCAGCAACGAAGGGGCCAGTCTCAGAACACTCTCTTCCCAACAAAGCTCACAACAGAGAGGCAGGCAGAGCCAGCGAGAGAGCGAGCGAGCATGCGTGCGTGGGTTGGACTACACAGAGAGAGGGTTTGCTTCAGGCGTAAAGGGAACACGACTCCGCTCAAGCAACGCAAAGGGAAGACAAGGGCGAGAGACGGGTCACGCTGGACCGGGTCGGGTGCCTGGAAACTTGCGAAGCGCGCGTTCAGAAAAGTAGCGGGACCGGCAGACGGGAGCAGGTGACCGTCTCAGGCGGTTTCTTCCGGGTTCTCTGGCAACCTGCCCCTCCTGCCCGCTTGCTTTGCTGGATCGAGTGTTTTCGGTCTGCCCCTTCCCCTGCCCGCTTCCAAATATTTGAAGTTTGAATTACGCGCGCTTGTTGCTCTCTTGTGGCGCCTGACGGAGGCTCACTGCGATTCCGTTTCATGTTGAGTTCCGGGGGGCACTCTGGCCCTCACGTTTCGCTTATTTGTGTATTCTTCGTCTATCGGTGGCTTATATTTTTGTGCAAGAAAATGGAAGATTATGCGATCGCACCGAGGTTTTTGCTAAATGATTTCTGCTCGTTAATCTTGATTACTGTACTTGTCCAATCGGTGCGGATTGGGAGTGCGCTTCGTTTCAGGTTGTTCCAGATCCTCGGTTATGACTGTTGTGAAAATCTGTCTTGATACTGTAAGCATCGTTGTCACAGCAGTATGTCGCTCACACTGCAGTCGTTCTCTGTGGTGATGTGTATTTTGAATTTGAGGATTACACCTGACCCTCTCTATCTTGTAGTGGCGAACAGCAACCTAACTGGATCTGAAACAAAATTTTAATGTATTGATATGGATATTTAGAATTGGTTGATAAGTATGGCATTCATTGCTGTTAGAAGGAGCACGCAAGAGTTCGAAAGAAGCCGCTTCATTTCGTTTTTCCATCAGTAGGCATATCGACAGATGTGCAACAATGCTCATTTGAGGTGAGCTTTTTCGGTTTGCTGGTTTCTACTTTCTACCTTTGACTTGTCTTCTGTTAATTTCTTTTCTTCTTCTTCTTGTGGTAATATGGTATTTTCACATATGTTGGTGTTTTTAGTCACTTTTAAGTTAATTTCGCAGAATCACCACTCCTCCAAATTCTAATTTCTGTCTCACATCAGTGATGTTATCTCTTTCAAATGCATGCTTCTTTACTTGATGCATCATAGTTAAGATTTAAAGTCATTAGAAAAGCCTTGGCATAATAAATTTGTAAAATGAGCTCACTTAAGTAGACTTTGTTGGCATAAAAACACCATGATTGGCTTTATGAGTATTTTTCATAAATAATTCAAACAATAAACAGAATATCTGTATTCTATGTATATTTTTTGTATAGTAATGATAGTGTCAACATGAATTAAAAAATAGGTTGTAACTTTTTATGATGTTGAATGTCAATTAAGTAATTATAGTGATTTTGATAATTAAAATTTATTTTTATCTTTTTTTACAAAAAAAAATGGTTGAAATTTTAATGGAAGTTTATAGTCATTTCATTAAAGTTAACTTGTATACATCCAAAAAGGGTCATGCAAAAACTACAAGCAAATTAATTAGACCTTTTAAAGGTTTTGAAAAGCAACGTCATATCAAATTCTGTTATTTCTAATAATCAAATTCTTAACCATCACAAAAGTCATAACAAAACAAAAAAGATGATTCTTAAAGAAAAACATGTCTAACACAAAATAAAATATATTAGTAAAATAATTTTATAAACCAATTTTTTTTAATTATACAAATATATTTGATAGTGATAACATATTTGGTATTGGTAGTACAAGATATAAGTAAAAGATACTTTCTACTTTAATAACAATAAATCAATAAACAAATAAATAGGACATAATCAATAATTTCCAAGAGTTTTAGTATATTAAATAAACATAGTTCATGTTATTTAACTATTTGTAACATTTAAGAATCTATATCAAATTTTAAGACATAATTTAATTTACTTTTGAAATACTGAGAAAATCTTTTCTATAATAAATTATATTTTAAAATCTACACTTTGATTAAAAAATACTATAACATAAAAAATACCAACTTTATGTCACTCATTGGATGTTAATTTTTTTTTTTTTTTTTTTTTGCTGTAATACAAATGTGTGTATATATATATATATATATATATATATAAAAATATAAGACAACTTGGATATAATACAAAAAGAGAAATAAGTCTTTTGATTGGCCATAACAAAGGAAAATTAGAGAACTTACAGAACATACAAACAAGGGAACATAGAAATGAGGAGATATGGAAATATGGAAACATGAGAACTTGGGAATATATGGGAATGATAGAGCATGGATAAACAAGGAAATGGATAGATGTGCCAAAGATTGCAGTGCCCAACAACATAGATTTCTACTGGTATATATACATACATATGACTTTAATTATACTTTATTTTATTATTTAAATAATTAAAATATATTATGTGTGTATATGTATATATATATATATATATATATAGTTTTAAAAGATTTTGCAACATTCTTGTTTATTTTTTTTACTGAAATAAAATTAATGCCTTTTAATAATTAAATTTATAATACTGATTTTTAATTGTATATATACATATATGTTCTATTTGCAAATCATTATGTAATAATTATTTTGAAACTTATTAATACGACACTTGTTCAAATTTTATCATATGAAAAAAATGTATAATCAGGGTTTCTGTGTAACAAATCACACAAAATAATCATTTGCTTTTTACATATACCTTCAAGGAGTTCTGAATCTATGCAAATAATTTATATACATGCTGAACTGAATTTCTCCCTCAAAAAACTTTTCCTTTATGCAATCCTCGTATTTTTAATTAAAACTATGAATTCCATGAGAAAATTTCTAATACCTTATGATAAAATTTCAATCTTTGATTCCAACAAATCAAATTGGTGTAATAATTAAATTATCATTTTGGTGAACCAAAAATTCCAGTGTGATCAACTTTTTTTGTAATGCATGTTTTTAAGAAGACCCGCTTTCTAAACATTTTTATAAGTTTATTCGTAATAAAGCTTAGTAATAAAAGTTACTTTATTGGAACCTGACTGCGATTGTTTAGCATCTAGAAGACTTTCCACTACAAGTACCTTGTTGATAGTGATTTTATTTACAGCTTTCACATTAGCTGGCAAGTTTGTTTTTTGTTGATTTTTTTTTTTTTTTTTTTTTTTTTTTTCCACTTCTCTAAAACACTACTTAGTTATACAAGATAAAGATGTGAAAGAACTAGAAAATACTCATTTTAATCCACCTCAACAATCAATTGTCATTTATTTATTTTTCCAAATGTGGATATATATATATATATATATACATATATGGGAAATATCAGAAAAAGGTGTTTTTCTAGAAACTACATGATGTCCAAGTGCAGAAATTACAAAAAAAAAACAATTCTGGTTGAGGAGAAACATATATAGGCAAAAGAATAATAATAAAACCTTTTTTCATAATACACTTTAATTAGATCCATGATTTTATTTTGTGAGTGACGTCAAAGATAAAATTATATAAACTTACTTGATTGAACTCATTTTTATTTATTGTATACAAATTTAGCAACAATATTGTTGCATTTGTGTACATTAAACAAACTACATCTGTAGGTTTTTTATGTGATTATTTAATGAAGTGTAATTTCAACTTATAATACATAATACTACACTTGTACATTGAATAAACTTCATCGTATAAAAGCTCCAAATTTTAGTACAACTAAGAATTTAAATTCATAGAATTTAGTCCTCCACCATGACACAGTCCATATTCCTTATATGCTTTGTAAAGTAAGCTCACCTCACATTTTCCAATTCAAATAATACTTTCATATACTACCAAAAAACCAATTAAATAATTTTATGAATAAAATGAAAGTAAAAAAAATAGAAACATATTAATGAATTGTGGTTTGGAAACATTTATTGATGCTTTTATATTTTTTCATGTGTTAATATATGTATATATATATATATATATATATATACACATACAAACACCACTAGCCCTTCTCTTAAGGAAATAAAGGGTTGAAAATATTACATAGGTGGAATATGTTGAGGCCGACAGGACATGAAGATATGCAAATAAAAGTAAAAGACATGTGTTTCTCAAGTGTTGTAAAGTTCCAAATTTCATGACGTCTCTTCACATTCATTCAGCATTTTGAAACGATTATAGAACTGTATGTTCATTATGTTTGCTTGGTCAACCTTGGAATTTTGGGCTACATGAAATTTTCTGTATAACTTGCATTCTAATATTAGAAATTTGGGTTCCTTCCATCTCCACATTCTTTAATGTATTTTTTCTAAAAGTAAGATGCTTGTTGCATTTTATTGTCCCAATGCTTCCATGTTCCGTTGATATGTTCCATGTTCCATGAACAAATTATCATAATTTTTGTTGTTCTTTTCACAGTCTACCCAATTGTTTGTGTGTATGTTATTATGTATGTGTGTTATTTAAAAATATTAGCTAATTAATAGAAGAACTTTTTTAAATGTGTAATATATTTTTTGTTTAATACAATAAAAATTTAATATTCTAATTTTGACACACATATATATATATATATATATATATATAATTAGAAAAGATATAAAATTTTCATTTATTTAGTCTCAACTCAATAAAAAAATAAAAATAAAAATATATATTCTTTGTTAGGCTACAAAATGGTTCAATAAGCTACTTATGGTTATTACAAGTTGTCATACAATATCATAATTAAATTGATTATTTTTCAATCATATCTCTTTTATAATAGTATATCATGTATGTATGTATGTATGTATGTATGTATGTAATGTCTATTCAAATTTTAAAATATCAAGAATATAAATTTGCAATTCGTTTTAATTTATCCGATTTCATTACATATTTCTAATTTTTTTTAAATGGAATCTAAATGTAAGGAATCATTTAGCATATCATGTGTCATTCTCACTGACAATTGTAAACTTTGGATTGGCTAATGCACCTGAAATTTTTTAGCATCAAAGGCAATTTTTTAACATTACTTGAAGTTTTATTCTGGTACATCTCAATGGTATTTTTATACTTACTAATACTAAAAGTATAAACAAAAGTAGTTAAAGACATATTATGTAAACAACACAATATGATTGACTTATTATTAAAAATTACTTTAAGCAGAACCTTCATGATACATTTGTAGAGAAACATATCACGATCAAAACAAAAAAAATAAAGAATAAATTAAAGCTTTTTTAAAATTTTAATTGTTAATGTTTTTTGATACTATTTTGATTAACATTTCATCAAACTATTGGTCAACAAAATTAGGCAAAAAATCAAAGTATCTTTTTCAAAAGGACAAATTTCTTTCATAAAAAAAAGTTCAATAAAGAAATATAGTATATTACTGCATGTGTGTATATAAATGTATAAACATAAATACATACAAACATACATATGATTTTTTTCTAAAAAATGTGATCTTTGAATATTATTTTATTTTATTTGTGTTCTTTGAAGGTACATTAAAACAACTTAAGTGACTATTAATGTATTTGATATCACATTAATATTATAAAGCAAATGTTTACATACATACATACATACATATATACATGCACATTTGATAAGATAAATCTTGCTTTTAGCATGAGATTATTTAAAATAGAAAAATAAATTCACTTTATTCATCAGAATATACTTGTTGGTATGAAAATGTACTTAAAGGAAATGTTTAAAATTTTATTACTAAATAGAATACTTGTGTTTATATGTTTATATGAATCCTTATATTCATGTTCAAATCCAACATTCACCAATGATCTATTTTTATCACATACATATATATATATATATATATATATACATGTAGCTTTGTATACAAAACATTTTATCTATCATTCATATTGATTTATATTGCATGATTAATGTAGGTGTTGTGATACCTTGTATTTACACTATCTTGCATTCACAGCTCCTGCCATCATTAAAATCAATATTTGTACAAAAGTTTGTTGTATTACAGTATGATGCGTCAATAATTTGTACATATATATTTTTTGTCATTGTTAATGATCAATTCAATGTTGTTAAAATAAACGAAATTGCATCGCGGCACTAAAGAATAAACCTCACACCATTGTACGCATTTCATCATGTTCAGTTAATGCACATTTCCATCAAAATTAATTACCTCCATCCTAACTCTTGGACATGTTGTGATTGGCTACTCAACAAGTAGCACCTCAATATTGAATTCAGAGACAAATCATTTGTAATTTTTCATTCAAGACCAGGCCAACAAAACGAAACCTCTTTCTGAATAGTTTGAATGATGTAATTCTCATCACAAGAAGCTATTTCCTCATAAAATAAAATAAAACACAATAAAAAAATACTATAGATACAACAACAAGAAACAAATAAAACCAACGATGTAAAACTGTTTATGTGTTCAGTGTTCCATTAACATACATTTTTTTCCTTTGGAAACTCATTATTTATAGTTATACCAGACCGACAAGCCAAGAGCAAGTCTTCTGTCCTCGGACAAGAGAGACCAGTTCTGGGGCTACAGTAGATTAACCCCACAAGCAAGAGGGCTCTTTGTCACTAACCACTGCAGGAAAGGATTGACCATGGCTCGAGCTTTGCCCTTGCCCTATAGTCTGCATAGCTCCCTGCTGCTGCTGCTCGTTTGCAGCACGAAAAGGTGGATGATGACAATCGCGATGGCGAAGGTACTCCTTTCGACAAGCTCACACTCTGGCATTAGCAAGCGACGACGACTAAGGATAACCAATTCGCTTTTCTGAGGATGCTACCATTCTAACGCACAGAAATATCGTCACCCACCTCGTACCTACACCAAGCCAACAGCACCATTCAGTTCAGACAGAATATACTGAACCTTTCTTCAACTTTTCAACGGATCCTTCCTGGTGCACAGCACCCAGAAGCTTCGGCGTGTCCTCTCAACGTCTCCGTAAAATAATGGCGGTGCAACCCGCGATTCCGAGGGAAGGACAGGGCGTGGAACCAAGAGGGGAAAAAGAAGCCCCAAGCTCCAGCCGGGTTCCCAGTAGTGCAACTTGCCTCTGCTCGACCCCAGCCGTCTAATTGCAGCATTGGATTCCCCAACAGAATATCTGGCCACCAAGCACGGCCGGTCATGATTGGAAATCTAACCGTGGAGCATGGTTTGGTCGCAGATTGTCACGAGGCGAATGATTGACACGGAATGAATATTGTTTGCAATCAGAACAACTAAATGCCTCTGGCAGAACAGAGGTGACTACTATTTCTAAAAGTTTTGGTGACTCAACTTATGGAGAAATCGCCTTGTGCAACGGAAGGAGGATGAAATGTTTGATGCTGTTGGCAAGCGAAACGTGGGAAACAACAGACTTCGCATTCCTCCCATACTGTACAGAGAATCAAAGACAAAAACTACTTAGGCTCCACACGAAACTACACCAAGGTGGAGAGAGACAACAAATCGACGAACTCCCAGGATATCGTGATACATCACAATGCGAAAATCTGGTTGTCGGTGTTAACAAGAGGCATCTCCAACATACTGTCCACGACGATATTCTCCCATTACAAAGGGAAAGTATATTGACCATCCATGTCAAGCACAGGCACACCGGCATAATCCATTCAAGACCACATTCCTACTAACAATCCTTTAACGGATAGAACCCAACCGACAAAAACTTGGATCATGTACATCCGGGGAGGTATTAAGGAGTTGCGATTGCATATTCATTCCATCCATCCAATCCTG